ATGAAACAAACATTTCCTTCTTGGAGGGCATCTGCAGCTTCAGCACTTATATAAAAATGAACATATTGTCCACTAGATGGAAGTTCAGAGATGCTTCTACCCACAATCTATAAATACTCATAAAACGTGTATAATACCTTGTCAATAAATGCCTTAACCCTTGTAATACTATCCATCACAGTAAAGGAAAAAAAGAAATCGCAAAAATGTGAAAAAAAAACACAATTGAGATGCACAAGGTAGAATTTTTTAAAAGATCATGATGTTTATTTTTGTTATGATGGTTATTTTTGCTAGCCACATGGAAAGATCTATAAAACTCTAAACAAGCATCTCCCAGACATGCRACAAACACCCATTACCTTTCTGCTTTACCACTATAGCTGAGAGCAAGGGAGAAAGGATGAAAGGAGCCCTGAAATTTAACAAACGCAGCTAAATTTGGGCTTCGCATCCTCCGCTGCTCGCCAGAGMGGGCCGTGCAATAATATTGCTGACTGCAACAACCTTTTCTGATTTGGACTTTAATAGTATTACCCTAAGCCCTGCAGAGTCACCTCTGCTTAGGGAACAGTGCTTGTTTTATTTTGCTTCCTCAGGCATGCAAAAAGAATTAAACTTCCTGCACAGTTTATTTGGCTTTTGGATGCAGATGGAGCACAATATATTTTACCCAGCAACCCTCTACCTTCTTCCCACTTTGATAATCTCCTGCTTTCCTTTTCTGCCTTACCTGCCTACAGCCTTCAGATTTCATATATACACAGGCTTGGGGCAGTTCTAATAAATCTCTTGGAACCTGCAACCAAGTCTTACACACAGGGACCAAGAAAAATGGAAAAAATAAAGAAGAAAACAGAAGAAGGGGAAAAGGTAGGAGGAAAGGGAAGAGGAATGTTTTTGCTCTGGTATATATTTATTTAAATGTTATTTTTCTCAGAGCAAAATATTCTTCTCAGTCTATTAACTTCACTGATGCAAGGTGTGTGTGTGTATGTATATATATATATCTATTCATGCGGTGGAGTCATAATAGTGCCTGTTCAATTACACTACTGTGATTATTTTTACTAGTCCTTGATTTTATATATATTTTTCAAATATTATAATTTGATTGCTTAGGACAGTTATGAGAAAAGAGGGGAGTCTTGAAGGGCTCATTCCAGAGTTGAGAGCATGTCTCAGTCCCTTCAACACTAGAACTTGTCCTACARAACTGAGTGAGATTCCCACAGTGAGGTACAATTTCCAACTTGGGCTCTAAAAACTTTGGTGTAAAAAGTAACATCTTTTTATGGATCATTTTTCCACCCTTCTTGCTCCTTTGTTAAGCTCTAAGATAGATAACTGGTCTAATTTTGATGACCTTTAACAAGATAATTGAAAGAAACTTTCAAGAGCAAAGTGGTTCCTACAGTCCTACTCAAGCCAGAAAAACCAACACTAAMGTTGATGCTCCGAGGACAGTACTTGGAAGTAGTTCTAGTTCTACAGCCTGCATGAAATTCATCAGGAAACAAAGTTTTGATGAGGGCTTTGGTAAGGAATTCAGACAGAAACAGAGAGCTAAGTGAGGTCTTGTTTAGGTTCCAGCTGCTGGGAACCCTCCCTTAACACAAGCAAAGCCTCCTTTGAATGCAAACCTAGTCACTGTCTGAAACACCCAATCTCTGCTACCAAATCAAAACAGATTTAAGCAACTTAAAGCAGCAGGTCTCCTGCTTCCTTCCCCTCATGAGAAACATTTCCAGTGAGACCCAAGGCTACCTCTAATCTATGTGATATTGAACTCAAGCCCTGTGTGTCTGTATTCCCAGGCTGCCGCTGCTGAAATACTGCTATTTGTCATTTAAAAGCATTTTTATACATAGAAAGTCAAAAACAATTTGGGTAAACTTGCTTGAGAAGAAAGGATTATGAAGACACAGGAATAATAATACATCAATTTAGCACAGTTCCTGCTGTGAATATAAAAAAGTACATGAGCAATCTGCATTGATTGCTTGGATACACTTCTGAATTTTATAAGTATTCTGTTATCTCTGTATTGCACCTTTCTGCTGTGCTTGTACCAACACATATTTCATAAAGATTAATCTGTTCTCACCAAATCCATTCTGCCCTATGATATCCATGGGGGAATCTGGCAACAACATATCAGATCTGTTTCCTACATGTTCTTTGCAAACAGATTAGCAACCAGGGAAGCATCCTTAAGTGACAGCATAAATTGAAATGGATATTTATTGATACAGTGAGGAGATCACAGGGAGCATAAAATAACAGGTTGTAAGGTAACATCAGATCAAGCAAAGAACATTTCCCCCTGAATTCTGAAGCCACAAATAGCTACTAAAAAGACTGCATGAGAGGGGAAAACAAAACAAAAAAAATAGAAGACTTCATGAATTAAAGAGTTAATAAATGCCTTTGGTAAATCTGTTATCCTTTGCATGGTTTCTCTAACTTCATGTGAGTACATAACGTGACATTGTTTTTTTGCAGGGAAAGTGAGCAATATAATACAATTTTCTTTTATCAAGTGGAAAAATAAACAAATACGATTATTAGATTCTGTCAAACTCATTAATTTATTCCACATTTACCTGTCCTCTTTGMTGCAGAAAACTCTTTATAGCTAACTGGATACAGCAGCTGCATCAGAACATGCATCACCACCATGAACTCTTAACAGAGTCACCTTAACACATCATTAGAAGTGGCTATTGGGAGCTGATGCTTAACTGTTCTAATGATATTTAATTGCACTTGAATCAGGTGCTGAATAAGCAAATGAAAGGTTGCTTGTAACTGACTTGCACTATTTTACTCATCGTCGACAATATAAAAAAGGTTTAGACATGGTAATTATTTAAGACTCTTAAAGGAGAAACAGCCAAAACTTCTATAATATTCTTTCTAAATCAGGCCTGTTAAATCCAAAGAGATTGCATTCTTAGTCCTCTTTGGAAAAAAAATCATTCAGGAATGAGCAAAGTGTGAGTGAGTGTTAACATGAACTAAAGAAGGTAGCAGCCATGGAATGCACTAGGGTGTTTGCTTGGGAGAGATGGTGAGCAAGTGGCAGGAACCCAAAGGTGCTTGGCAGCCCTCAGGAGGGCAGTTCACACATACCTGTGTTCTCTCTCTCTGATCTACAAGAACAGTCTAACTTTACATTGATAAGCATTACAATGAGACATATATTCTCCAAAAAAACTGCACTAAAGATTTATAGTACATTCACAAGATCTAGCACTAAATTTTTGCAAGAATGCACAACGGATCCCTATTAAAAACACAGGCAGATCCATTTTAGCAGGCCGAGTCATTCAGCCTGCTAAGTGTCAGCACTAGCACCTTCCTCTTGAAGAAGATATTAGAGTGAGTGAAAGGCAAGACAAGGACAAATTTACACAGTGCAACATAGTTTAGTTTTGCTTAAACCAAGCACCCRGACCTTTCTTCAAAGTCCAAGAGCATTTCACAGCCTCTATCTGTGACAGCAGCTACCTGCACTGAAGATGGCTGCAGGTTGAGCACCAGCAGTCACGCTCTCCGATACCAAGCAGGAGTCCAGAGGCACAGCAACATGACCAAGCAGATCTGGGGTGGGACTGCTCTAGCTGCAGAAAGTCAGCGCACCTCGTGCTTCAACTCCCTTTTTGCTCCTCTSCAAGGAACACCCCTGTCTTTGTCCAGGGCAGGACAAAGGTGTGTGGTGACACATGCCACGCACTGGCTGGGCCCTGCAGGTTTGCTCGGGGAGGGGAAACAGCGTGGCCTGTGCCACTTTGCAGTCATCCTGCACCCAGAGCCYGGGCCCCCAGAGGACAGCAAGGCAGCCAGTCCTTTGAGCCCTCGCCAAGAGGCACCTCGCACATGTCCTGTCTGGAGTCCAACACCAGTAATTAGCACAGGCTTGCCTTTGGTCAGGCTCTGCTAATGTGCATCTTAATTTAAGCCTAAGTTAAAGAGTAATGCTATTTATTATACAGAATATATACATCATACAGTTATTGCCACAAAAAGACATTGCCCAGTTTCTAAGAAATGCATAAGGAAAAAAACATATATGCTGCAGAAGTCCTTGGTTTATACTTTTCCCCTAATTACCAATTCAGTGAGTGCCCCTTTGTTTTTCAGGTCACTCCCCAATTACATATTACATGTGTTTCCTTCATTCCAAAAGCTTTAATTCTTTTTCAGTGTTGCAGAATTAACTGGACAGAGTTCTTAATCTTATCTCTACAAAGAACTTGTTGTAATTGCAATGAATGCTTTCATTTTGCTGGTGTCTGAAATGCGATTTGCAGAAGCAAGGGGGGTGGGTTGATGCTAGTCCTATCATTAATGACATTCTCACAGGGATTGGAGTGGTAGAAGWAAAAACCCCAAAGCTTTTATATAATAGCGAGCATGTGTTTGCACGTGAGCTACTCCTTTAAGAAGGAAGCTGCCTTGGACTAGTGGAAGAAGAGGGATCCAGGCAAAAGGCAGCCCCAAGGCTATAACAGGGTGCAGAGGTTAAATTCTTTTTTTCTTTTTTCTTTTTTTTTTTTTGGGGGGGGGGCATTTTGGTTCTAAGTATGGTCACTTCATATCCTCTCCCTGAAGGCTTCACTGAATTAGAGGTGTTTGCCATTGGCACAGCCTTGCTGGTAGAAGGTAAGTTCCATGCGGGAATTCAGGAGAAATCAATTTTTTTTTCCCCTTATTATTTAGGGTGAGGTGTTGGGGAGCAGAGAAGGGAAAYTGGAGAAAATAGTGTCTGGGATACTGAGACTCAGACCTGGTGTGGCCACTATGGCCACAACAGCAGTGCTTCTGGTGAATAAAAGAGGGTGGGCTGCAAGTTGCTCACAACAAAGACCTGCTTTGCACACGGTGAAGGGGCAATGCTTGCTACTTAGGTTTCTTAGCAAGAGTTTGAGATATAAGATGTTGTTATCAACTTCAAAATGCAGTTTTATTTTCTTCAGAGGAAGGATGCTGCACTGTCTGATGATCCCTTAATAGTATATGGCTGCTTATTTTRTTTGTAGTGATAGCCACCTCATAATCAAAGATGATAGGTCCAAAATAGCCTGTTAACAGTTAGCATACACCCAGATTGCTTCAGTAGAGTTGCAATTAATGGCTGCTTGGCAACAGTAGGGAACAGAAATGTGTTTGGAAGAGATTTGAAAGCTTTCAGAGTGCGAAGAAGTGAAATTAGGAGACAAAATTAATTTAACCAGTATGGGCTGTTCAATGCACGTGCCACTTGATCAAAACACTGCATCACAATTGTCCATTTGTATCTATGAATTTGATTAGTATCAAAGGATATGCCTGTAGCCACAAATCCATCAGAGTCAGGCCCCAGCCTCCCCTGTTGTCCCTTTCCTGCTCTGGGACCCCATCCCTACACACTAGCACTCAGGCAGGGACACTGCTCTTGCAGGGCTCGAGGGCAGAAGAGGGGAAGCCAGCAGGGCTGCCTGCACAGAAACGATGCCCATTAGCAAAGCAGGACAGCGCTGAGCATGGGAGAAAGGAGCCCTCCCCTTGCAGGTGCCCCTGCCTGGCCCAGCACCAAGTGCCAGGTGCCCCTGGAAACACAGGCACAGCTTTTGCTCCAGCTGGAAAATRACCACCCCTACTCTTCACTCACACTTCACTGGTCAGTCACACCGTTTATCTGCCTTCTAACTACTGCTAAGCAAAACACACACACACTCCTCACTTCGGTCTTTTTGATGTTTGTTTTTTCAGCCTAGTCTAGCTTAATACCTGCTTGTAGATGACAAGGATGCATAAAATACATTTCAGACTTTTTGGCKGAACTTTCCAAGTCTCAAAGCTGTTTTAGCCATTAACTTAAGGAAACTTGAGTTGGCTAATATTATTTTAACTTGTTTCTTCTATATTTACTAYGTAGATACCCAACATCCTTACGTTATTGCTGAATTTGCCAGGTAGACATGTGTCCAGTAAATGTTTAGAGATACCTTAATCCTGTAGTCCAATCTCTACTTTTTYGATGACTTAGATGCAGGCTTGTCACTCTTGGCCTTACCATAGTAGATACTGAAGCAGCAGCAAAGTTCTTGGCTACAACTGTTAGGACAAATTCCCAGAGAGCAGCCTGCAGGGTATAGCTGCAGAAGCCGATGAGGAAGCCCAGGCTCACATATAGACACAGTATGTTGTGCTGYAAGCTGTGGAAAGACAAAAGGATTCAGTTATTGATATCCCAGCATGTTACCTGTTGATAACAGACCTTCACCTACAACTATATAAGTTCTAATCTATTTATATTCTATCAAAGCTAACAGTAAGATTATACAGTATTTTGTAGGGTTTTACCCAGAACATGCTTGGTCTTTGGCAGTAATACATTATCTCTGTTATCTGACTAGAGAGATCAAACTAAATAATTCAAGATTAATTMACCTTCTCAAAGACTCTAAGACAAGGGCAATGACCACCTAGTTTTTGCTGCAGTTTGTAAGTGCAGCTTTCAAGAAAGCACTGGGGAGGAAGAAAACTTTTTGGCACTCACTTCAATCAGGGGCACTCTTAACACAATTGCTATGTTAGAAACGGAAGTGTGAAGCTTTGTCTTTTTAATTTAATAATTTATCCATGTACACACTCATACTGGCCTTTAAGGCAGAATTGTGCAGGGAAGCCACAACCTTCAAAAAGCAGTGAAAAGCCAGGGAAGAAAAAAAAAAAAGAGAGAGAGCTGATGCAGTAATAGCGCTTCAGCTCTGCTCTATATATGGTCACTCTCCCAGAAGGCTTGACTGGATTTGGGAGAGCTRGCAGCAGCAGATGGGAGTTAAGCTGGCACGGAAGAAACAAGAACAGCACATCTCAAATGGCTCCAAATAGTTCTGGAAACATTTTGTTATTTGTTGTGTAATGAGAGGAGCACATCAGCTGTTACTATGGTTATGCCATCAGCCATTAATGCAATTAAGGCAGGAGCAGGATTTCTTACTATACAAAATCATCCATCTTATGTAACTGCAGAATTAAGACAATGACCATAAGTAACTATTCTATTTTACAGAATTAGGGAATATGGATTTTCCTCTCTGCCACATAATTTCTATTTCCAAGAAGAACACAAAGAAAGAGATGCACTGYCTCTCATCTACATTAGATTGGAGAGGTGATGTTGAGTCAGAGCCTCATCAGAGCTAATTCAGGTCATCTAGAAAAGGACRTGAAAGGACAAAGCTCAAGTTTAAACCTATGATGGATAGGGGTAGCACAGCTCCATGCAAGGGTTATTTGAATGCTCCTCTCTGAACAAACATTAACTTACTTTATAAAATCTATCAGTGCCTGCTTTTTATAATTAGATTATTCCTTTCCATGTATAGTCTATTGACGAAGGGCAGTAATAAGATTGAGCTGCTGTGATTCAAGCGCTGTCTAGGTCAGCCTTAGGTAGAAGCCCGAGGGGAAGCAGGCTGGCTGAACCACAGCCAGGGAGTCTCTCTGCTCCAACACCAGCAGCCCGTGACAACCCACAGCAAAGGTGAACTGTTTCCCTACCAAAGACACGGCCCAAGAGGTGTAYGGCAGCAGTGTGTGCTGGTTGCTGGCCCCTCCAACACTGCCTTCTTTGCATCTCTGCTCCAAAGTCATTTAATGAGTCCTTTAATAGAACCTGAAAAACAGGTTTCTGTTGAATAAAACAGAATTAAAAATAAAATTAAGCCATTTCTGCTCTGCACGAGCAGCTACATCCCTAAGCTCTGGTGCACCTCCAAGCTTTGACTTCAGCTGCCACTCAAGACTTTTCCCCTGAAAGCCTTTTAGTTACTTGGGTGCTCACGGTAACCACTGGACAGTAACTAAAAGTTTCCATTGTAATTATTGCTAATYCAAAGAAAACAGCTGAGCTCTTGTAGATATTTCCCATTTCCAGTTGATTCATGCCAAACAATTCTGTTTTTCAGCCCTGCTTGGGTTCTGTCTGAATGGCTTGACAATTATTTCTTTCCGAAAAATCAAAGAACTCCGAACACCCAGTAATCTGCTGGTTTTCAGCATTGCACTGGCCGACTGTGGGATCTGCATCAATGCCTTCATTGCTGCCTTTTCCAGCTTCTTAAGGTACATCTTTTTTTACTTAAGGATGCTCAAAAGAACCACATAAAATGAACCACTAAAGCCTTAAAAGGTCAAAATTAATTAAATGACTCTCTAGCACTGACTCTAATCAGCCTTTCAAAATTGAAGTGCAAAATAAAACCCTAAAAAATACATTTCTATCAGGGAAATTTTTTAAGTAGACTTTACTACCACTGCCTAGAAGATTAATTATAGAAAATATTTAACCACAGTGTCACCAGTGAATACAGTAAAGCTAGCTGAATAATAAGCATATATTTTCATTCAGCTAAATCTCCAGACTGACCCCAAAGTTAATTGCAAGCCTTCCTGTTCTTCGTAAACTTTTCCATTAGAGCATTTATTTCCAAAATCTGTAGAAAATGAAGTGCAGACCTACAGTTTTCAGGAGGTTCACAACAGTGATGGCACATTAATTCTCCACATTTTCCCAGCTCATGGGAATGTCAGTCATTTATGAGAGGAGAGAAATAATATGAAGCATTTAAGTAATTGCCACACAATTCAAAAGGAAAGCATATTCCAAAAAGACACACTCTTTAAGACAGTTGATGAATAATCCCACYTAAGTAGCACATATTTAAACCTTGAAAATACCCTTACCAGAAAAGAGAAACATTTCAAACCTGAGAAATGACAATTTGCTTCTCTCCTAATGGATATAAAAACATTCTAACAAATTAACAAGTCAATAGTCAGCTGCAATGAGGCCTATTCAAGAACTGCTTTACCACCGGTATGTTCAGAAGACTCATGTCTCACTGAAGTCAATAAAGGTGTCTTTTCTGAAATGGTGCTAAGAAGTTAAGGTCAGTACGTCAAAAATGACCTTGATTCAAATCTTTCAAAAACTAGTTTATCCTCAAAGTGCATCAGCACCATAACTGCAAAGGAAGTGAAGTAATAATTGCTGGGAATCTTGACCTACTGTTTTCTATTTTGTACCTTAATATGCTGCAATAAGATCTAGTTCATGTGCGGGGGCCTCAGGGACAGTAGCAATACRGAAGGTCTGTGAGACCATGAAAAGTCTTCATGTTGCCTTCCCAAAAGCCCATGTCTCTCCTTCCTGCTGCTAACCAACATTTTACAGCTGTTTATGTTATCTGCAATATTGTTGGTCATTCGTGGGACTGATTCAATGATTTGGTGGGCTCCAATGGTACCATAATAGAAATGGACTCCAAGATACGGAGTCCCTGCTGGCCCTTTTCTTTAAGTGGGAGCCTAAGTTGCACAGCCTCCCAGGAACTGGCTGCCTCCTGCTCAAAGGAACTTCCAGGGACAGAATCATGATGTATGACACTGGTATAATTACATAGAAAAGGAGATGACTGAAGATTTCCAATTCAAAGACAGTCAAGCAACAGTTTACAAGCAGACAGCCACGTTAAAGACAAAGAGAAAGAAAAGGCCAAGGCACTTTGTCATGGGTGACCGCAATATTGAATGTGCTTGTAAGCAGATGCCTCCTGTATGACATCTCATGTTTCTTTTTGTTCTTAGTCTGCAAATACATTTGGAAGCATCAGTCTTGCTCTTTGAAGAAATTTTGATTTATTGGGAGTTTCTGTACTCCTGCCCATGGTGCACAAAGACTTCTGCTCCCCAATTATGCCAAAGTTTATTACATATTTGTTACTTTCACAAGTTGAATTGGCTACTCCCAGCGGGTGAAAATTTTGAAGGTACAAGTACCTGGATCAAATATAGATTTCAATGTAAAAAGACAGTCTTCCAAAACAGAAAAATAAGGCTGTTTCCTTCTCTCAGCTAAAACACAGCTGTTGTGACCTTAGCAAGCTAAATACAGCCAAATACCTGACGGCRACCACAGGAACATCTGTCACAAGGAAGCGTTTCTCAGACCAGCAGGCTATTGTTTTTCTGCCCCTCCATTAATATAATCTCTAAATTGATCTCACCCCTTTCTAACACCTTGCTGACGCACTGCTCGGTCATTGACAGGTACTGGCCTTATGGCTCCGACGGCTGCCAAATCCACGGGTTCCAGGGCTTCCTGACAGCACTGGCCAGCATYGGCTCCAGCGCCGCAGTTGCCTGGGACCGGTATCACCACTACTGTACGAGTAAGTGCCATTGCTTACCCAGCACCTTGTTCAAATCCTGCTAACAGGCAGATACTCAGATTTCTAAGAATCCCTGCAAACCCATACTTCTTACCTGCATCATATCTCCTCCACCTGCCTACATCTGTGGTGTCTCTAGTTTGAGAGATGAACATGCTCTTCAAGGAACATCTTTCTGAGCAGGAAGCACAAGCAGTCCCCCCTCAGAATCTGTTTCCTAATCCGCCTGCAAATCCCAATCTTCTCAGCATGCTTCTGCTCTGCACATAGGCAACCAGCATCTCAAACAACATTCAACACCTCACATTAAAGAAAAACCTATGTTCCTCAGGCTTCCATCCAACATCCTACTTCATACCAAGCAGATCTTCCTGACCATGCAGTTTATTGATTCCAGATAAATCCTCCATGGGGCAGCATGTGCCTCTACGGACAACGGGGCTGGGTGGGAGCTGAGCCCTTTTGGAGCYGAGTTACACCCCAAGTTCCCTTTAGAGGCTAGAGGTTAGTTGAGTTGTTCCAAAGCAAGGCACAGGTTACGTGCAAGTGTCAGCAAGAGGGGTGGAGCTCTCCAAGACCTGATAGAGAAGGAAGACGCCATCTTCCTCCTCTTAGGGAATGCAGTTTCTTGCTTTCCTTGCACTTGATTTAAGTAGCTCTGACACCCTAACTGAACTTAATGAAATTTAATGTTTGAAAGGATGGACATAAACCAGGGAAAATAAATTTCCATTTTTTTATGGGCTTGGGAAAGCAGATTTTTGAGTTAGGTGAAAAATAAAGATTTATCTGAATGTAAGGATATATGGATTGGTAGAAATAGATATGTATTGTCTTTTGTCATTGTGTCCCAGACTTTGGCAGCACTGGATTTGTACATGTACTTGATGCAAGTAGAAACTTCTACCAGAACAGTCTCYGACTCTGATTTGGTGTTTGTTGGGACACAGCTATCCTGAAGCTGCTGTTTGCCAACCCAAGCTGCACGCCAACCAGTGTGGTAGCTGCAAGAGTGGAACAGGGGGGAAATCATTGTATCCCATTATGGGGGAAATCAGGAGGTGCAAAGAGGTGCTARCTAGACAAACTAGTAGCCCTGTGAGCACCAGGACTGGCAAAATCTGCCTTCCTGAATTTGGTGCCCAGAGATGAAGCCTCCTGGTACCTAATTAGACAGGTCCATGCTGCCTGAATGCACCTAAGAGCACATTCATTCATGTCACATCTCTCCCCAAACACCTTTTCCCTCCCCCTCACAGTAAACACAGCTATTTCATAACCCCCACTCCCCTTTCAAGTTTAGTTCAAAATGGCCAATATTTTCAAAAGTTATTAGGAAAGCAGCAAGTGGCAACCATGTTATCTGGGCCACTTGTGGTCCTCACTAGAAAGAGGGGAAGAGACAAAACAAGCAACACAAATGTATTTCACCTCGCTTCCTAACAGGAAATATCAGGCAGTAAGTGGACATACCATAATCTGAACCACATGGTCACTTTTGGCAGTCATGCTGGAGCTCTCCCACCAGGAAGCTGGCCAAGTCCAGGTTCCCATGAGGATCTGCACCTTGCATGTTTCCTGCTAAAGTCAAGCCCTTTCCAGGGACCTTGAAGCCCCCAAACACCTTTTCTCTTTGATGGCTGTTGACAGATGGAAGTAGCCTTCCCTTTCTGGTGCTCAAATACAAAATGCTCAAACCACTTCACAGAATATTTTCCAAGAAAAAAAAAAACACAAAATTCAGCTGAGGAAGGACCCGTTTAGCTGCAGCTTTCRATCCCATCCTCCCCTCAGCATTCACACACACAGCCTCCTAGACTTGGCTTCATGTGATTATTAAAGCAGCAAGTGGTAAACCAGACCCTGAGCACAGAGAACACGTTCAGTCTGATGATCCCATCAAGAGCAGAAGGCTGCCAACATATTGTCCTGAAAATTTTAATCAAGAATTCAGCTCAAGCAAGAAAATGCTTTTTTCATGCCCAGACAAGGACCTCAAAAAAAATCAGCAGCCACATCAGCCCCTCTTGGGCACTAAAGTATGTTTACAGATAGAAGAGGAACATGCATATTTTACAAGCTTGAAAATAAGCCTGTCTTTGGCAAGCCATTTTGCTCTCTGCAACATTGACTTTAATGTTTGTGTCATGCACTCCTCCAGTCAAGAATTATTACATTAAGGTCATGGACAGATAGGCCCCCAAGGGCACAAACTCTTTTGAAGAAATTTTGACTTAGTGACAATCAAATAGTCCTGCTATTATCAAGCATTTCAAACAAAAAGTAAAACAAGAACAGAAGGTTTTAAAAGCTCAGGCTCTGTGGTTATTGCAGTAAGACAAAGGAGTTCCTCATTTCATCCTCCACATGCTGCTAGCAAGGAAGAATAAGTGATATTTCACAGAGCTGATATACCAAGCCTGCAGGCTGCAGTGTGTTCCAA